CTGTAAGTAAAGAGATGATATAAAATAAAGCTAAAAACCAAAATGTCTATTGACAGATGAATGGATACAGAAAAGGTGGTATATTACACAAAATGGAATATTATTCAGTGTTCTAAAAGAAGGAAATACTGTAATATGTGACAGCACAGATGAACTTTGAAAATATTATGGTAAGAAAAATAAACCAATCAAAAAAACTATGTAATTCCACTATCATAAAGTATCTAAAATAAGTTCATAGACTCAAACAATGCAAAGGTAGTTGGCAAAGACTGAGGGAGGGGTTAGGAATGGAGAGCTACTAATCAATGGACATAAGGTTTCAGTTAAGCAAGATGAATAAATTCTAAGATCACCTTTTGAAAGTGAAACATCTATTTTGATGTTAACTATCTAATAAAAAACATTTTTTGTTTCCTTATAAATAATATATTAAGAGGTAGTCAAATATACCTGATGTTCCACTGTCTACAGTGTGATAGGCAGTAGAATCCTGATTTGCAATACTAGAAGCCATGTGGAAGACAGGGAGTTCAGATCCTGGGTCAACCTGACCATACTGAGCATGCACACACATGACCATGATCCTGAGATTTGGGGTAGAGGGATTGTGTCTTAAGACCCTGTCAAGAGTACCTGTCTCTCTTTCTCTCTCTCTCTCTGTCTAAAGAAATAAATATACTTTAAAAATAAAAGCATACCTGACATCTCCAACAACCCTAGTCAAAGGTGACTTTGCTCAGCAATGTGAGGAGTGGGCTTTCGTTTTGACATTTGGTCTCTAAAGTGATCTCAAGAGATTACCTTAATTCTGGAATTTAGTTCATAGAAAACTGTGAGAAATTTTCCAAAAATATACAAAGAAAAGATGTCAAACTAAATTTGGGGACTTATTGCACTTTGTTGGAGTAAAACAAATTACAAACTTTTTTCCTTGGGGGAAAAAGACTAATTTATTTGGGTTATTAAGGGCCAAGGAACCAAAGTGGTTCATTCTGGGGAAAATATATGCCTTCCCAGGAATAAAACCTGTTAGAAACTCTGCAGTATAGCTATCAGGCATCAGCTGGATGGATCACTGGTCTTGAAATCCTGAAGCCATATGATCAAGCAGGATGGATGCTCATACAAAAAATGGCAAAAACAAACTAACAAAGATGACATCATGAGTCTCTCTTAAAAGACCTGAATAATGGTGATCCTACTGTTAGAACCAGAGATGTCGTAACTTGTAAAACAAAAAGGGTAAGGCCAGGGAAGGGGACCTGTGAATTCTGACAAAGTGGGGAAACTTTAAATCATAAAATTAGCACTTCTTTTAGAAATCATTGTCAAATCTAGAACTATTATGCTGCCTTTAGAGTGCCTGACTAAGCTTATAAGCAAAATTTACATTCAAAGAAAAATTAAGTGAGTCTTTCCCTTTGATGTTCATCTGAGAGAAGCTCAGAGAATGCCTAGAGGTCTGATCTCAAACTCACAAATAACTTATATCCATGTTCCTCTTCATTAAAGGTATAGATCTGTTATCCTACTTGTTTTCAAGAAAAAAAAAAATGTACTCTGATCTCTATGGATTCACAGAATGGTAGATTAGAAGGCAACTTCTGAGATTATACAATCCAACCCTATTGTACTATAAGTGAGATTACAGAGAATATGTGATAAATCCAAGCACACTCAATCCACTGGAGCCTGAGGTATGATCCAAGTCTCCTGCTTATCAGTCCTAAGAATTTCCACAATGCCCATTGTCCTTCTCCATGCAAGGATTACTCTGATTTTGATAAGACATTGATTAACTGACATAAAAAATAAATTAACTAAAATCAACTAATATATAAAAGGCACTGTACTATATAGAACAGGAAGTAAGGAATAAGACTTACTTTTTCACTCTAGTAAAACCAGAGCAGGAATAACGGGGAGGTTTAAAATGAACAATCACTGAGATGACTAAAACAAAGCAATAAATGAAAGTTCTCAAAAAAAGGTACAAACAAAATATTACAACACTTCAAAGGAGATAAATACTAAATTGGGTTTGAGAAGATAAATAAGGCCTTCTTATTTGATTAGAAACAAAAAAGAGGCACTATTACCATTTCATTTAGTAGAAAATATCAGCCTAAGAACTATGTCAGGACACTGTGGATCACCAGCTCTACCTGGACCACACTTAGCACAACAGTATATAATCAATTCTTGTTCTTATGTGATTCTATTGCAGCAATGACAAAGTTGTATGGTATATGAGTTGGGACCTTATATTCTTCTTTTTTTTTAAAGAGGTTTTTGATATAGGGTAACTGGAAAGACAGAGAGAGACAGAGAAACAGAAAGCAAGAAATCACCGTGCAGGGGGGATGGCCATGCTGCAATCCATTCTCCTCCATTATCCTCTTGGGATCTTAGACACACGCACCTGGTGTGAGTTTAAGCTGCTGGGTCCAGGACTCAAACCACAGTTGACTATGTGGCAGTCCAGCGACGTAACCATTATGTCATCTGCTGGTCCTGGGATCTTATATTCTTAGAATATCTCTGTGTTCTCTTATTTATCCTGCTCACTAGATCTTGACCAGGTTACAAGTTCAATAGAGGTTAAAGAATAATGGAGAGAGAGTATCTTTTTCCTTATAAGACTGGAGATTTTATAAATATTTGTTGACCTAAACTTAACTGGACTTAATATGAGCCAAATAAAAGATCTGAGTAATTCCTGAATTAAACAATTGAAATAAAAATCATATATCTACATTTTTATTTCATCACCTCACCTTTACTATGCAAGCATCCAGGTAGGAATGGTAGATAGAGTTCAATATTAGCAGGAGCTCCTTTCAGACAAGAGACCTCAAAGAAATGGAAAAGGAATAGACAGGGAGTAAGAGTAATGAGTACCTACTATACACAAAGTTGAGAATTCCTAAAGGAACCATACTGAAGACCTCTGGGAATCCTATACTTGAGAAAACACTACACTGTAACCTAGACAATATGACAGATACACAATTATACATGTAAAGCTTGGGTTAAATTGTAATTGCACAGCCACCATGAAAATAGATAACTAGTTAGTGCATTAGACTGGTAATACTGTACTTCTTATAAATGAGACTTAGAAATTCATAAAATTTCTCTTTCCACACTAGGAAGAAATATAAGTTTTGTCTTAACATAAAACTGTAACAGAGACAAAGTAAATGTTCTCCATAGTTGAATGAAATCATATAATTTCAAGATCAGGAAGGATGTTTTTAGAGTATATACATTTTCTGGAGAGACAGAAAGTCAGAAATCAACACCCCAGGGGGATGGTCACACTGCAATCCCTTCTTCTCCATTCTCCTCTTGAGATTTTGGGCATGCACACTCAGTATGAGTGTCAAGCCACTAGGCCTGGGACTCGAACCATAGTCAACCATGTGGGAGTACAACACCTTAAGCACTACACCACCTGCTGGCCTCCAGAAAGGATTTTTATATAATCAACATTTAGTCAGTATGTTTATTGATGTACAGTGACTTGGGACAAGCTAAACAAATAGCCAAAATGTTTACTGCCTTATACAAAACACAGCTAACTCTGAGTAATTCTCTACCTGCAATCCACATTTTACACTGACTATAGTAGGCCACCTATGTCAACTCTTTACCTAAGGAAGGTGAGAAATTTTTAGAGGGAGAAGAAATTTGAGATTTCAAAAATGATTATTTGAGTACAAGGTGTACTCAAACTGCAATATTGCAATTGCAGTTTCAAGTACCTACTTTAAAGCTAGACTATGTTTAAAAATTTTGCATTTATTTTTCTTTTGACTTTTTATAGAGTTCCTTTGGAAAGTTCCCACCTATTTCTGCTTGCTAAGAATAAACTTAAGGGAGGTGTTTATTTTGCTGGCACTTAGATCACAGATAAAGAAAAGTGAGCCAGCCTCTGGGCACCTTGCAGACAGCAATGGAAGTTGACATAGGACTATAAAAATTCAGAAGAGGGACCAGCAGTTGGTGTAATGGCTATGTCGTAAGGACTATGTCACTGGACTCCCATGTAGTCAACCACGGTTTGCGTCCCAGACCCAGTGGCTTAAACTCACTCCAGGCACATATGTGTGTGTGCCCAAGATCCAGAGAGGAGAATGGAGTAGAAGGGATTGCAGTGTGGCCATGCTCCCTGGAGGGGTGATTTCTCGCTTTCTGTCTCTCTTTCTTTGTCTTTCTGGTGAGCACATGTGCCCTATAGCAAAAAGCTCTAAAAAAAATCAGAAGAAAAGCATTCAGGTTGCTAGTACTTTAAGAATGCCCTTCTGTGCTCATTTCTTGAAGATTGTTAGACTTTGTTAGATGCTCAGATATAATTTAATTGAAGAGACATGCACTCATGAAAAAATTAACTCTATAAGGTTATAAAACAATTTGATTTCTGAATTCATATAATATGTTCCAATTTTGTGTTATAAAAAAATAAATGTTCTTATGAGTTTATAGGGAGAAGAGTCTAGGGTCCTTTAAGCCATTCCTCCCTTCAAGGAAAATGGTCTCTAAGCCATCCCAGACAGATATACTTGGTATTTTTAACATTCTAACTCTTATTCCTAGCAAACTAGATCCTTGAATATGAACTGCCAAATTATTTCCCCTCTTGAACTTTATAACACAATGTTTAGAAGAGAAAATAGGAGAAATATGGTGGTTTCATAGAGAGAGGAATATTTTGTAATACTAGATTCATCTTCAGAAACAGAAACTACGTGCACACAGTGAAAAACATCTGGGGCCAGCCCTGGTCTTTATTCCAAGTTTTTCCCCTGGGGATGTAAAAATGGATGGAGGAAAAAGAAGGAAGCTTGGGATCCAGTGAATAGCCCTAAATCTGTCAGTTAAGCTTTCATGTCTCATCACACACTCTGGATTTGTACTTAAGGCTGCTGAGCTCCCATGACCTTTCTGGACTGCTTCTATGATTATTAACTTCCTTTTCAATCTAACAATTTTAGCGTGAGCTTCCTCAGCTATTACACCATAAGAAGCACTGACCACCATAAGAAGGAACACTTGTGAAGAGTACTGCAGTGTCAGAAAAAGGTATGATTTCCACTTTCAAAATGAACATTACTTTTTCTTTCTTTTTTTTTTTTTTTTTTGGAGAGGTTTTTGCTATAGGGCGCATGCGCTCACCAGACAGCCAGAGACAGAGAGACAGAAAGTGAGAAATCACCCCCCAGGGGGGATGGCCACGCCACAATCTCTTCTCCTACATTCTCCTCTCAGGATCTTGGGCATGCACACACACATGCCCAGGGTAAGTTTTAAGCCACCAGGTCCAGGACGTGAACCGCGGTCGACTACATGGGAGTCCAGCAACATAGCCATTACGCTAACTGCTGGTCCCCAACATTACTTTTTCAACTTGCAAACAACTTCACAAAGTAACTTCCTTCATTATCTGCACTAAAATAATATAAATTCCATTTATGTTTATTGCTTACTTTTTTTTTTTTTTTTGGAGAGGTTTTCGCTATAGGGCGCCATGTGCTCGTCAGACAGACAGAGAGAAACATAGAGACAGAAAGCGAGAAATCACCCCCCCAGGGGGGATGGTCATGCCGCAATCCCTTCTCGTCCATTCTCCTCTCGGGATCTTGGGCACGCACGCACACGCACCCGGCATGAGTTTTAAGCCACCGGGTCTGGGACGCGAACCGTGGTCAACAACGTGGGAGTCCAGCGACATAGCCATTACGCTAACTGATGGTTCCCATTTATTGCTTACTTTTTATTAAGCAATTAATGACCCATTTTTTTGTAAAGCAATTAATGACCCATTTGTTTTCTGCTAAGATAGCTCTTATTCTAGACTGTATTGTAACCTCTCCACAATTTTGAGCTATTACTCTTCTCCTCCACCAGACTAGGAGCTTTTTAAAGGCAGGAATGGGGTCGTAGATATCTTAAGTTTAAAACAGAAGTCTCTCTATATATATCTAGTATGGGTCCCATTATTGGGGAATTGTAGAATATTCTATAACAGTGAATTAAATGCTGTTTCAGACAAGCAATACCATCATCTGTGAAATGAGTGGTTTATACTAAATGATCTCTACCCCTCTAGGATTTACTACTGGCTCAGAAGTTTTACAATCTTTTTTTTAATATGGCCTTAATATAAACCATTGACCTAACTTAGTTATAAATAAATAATTGAAGCTAAATATTAAAATTTCTAGCCAAGCTTATTTTAGTCTGAAAATACTAGGAAGGTTATTAAGGGAACTCGAGATCATCTATGTCTTTGTGTATTTTTTTAAAAAAGAATTATTTAATTTTTTTTAATTTGCTATAGGAAATGTGCACTCATCAGAGGGAGACAGATATATATATATATAGAGAGAGAGAGAAAGCAAGCCACCAGGTCTTAGACTCAAACCACAGTCAGACATGTGGGAGTCCAGAAACTTAACCACCACACTACCTGCTAGCCCCTCTTTGTATGATTTTTAGTGTTATTTATTTGGCATCTTTCATTCAAAGATCTCAGAATTTCACATTTATTTATAACATGAAACATACAAATAAAATTGATTTGTCTATGCCAATGACATGGGTGTTTTTAACTTTAGAGGTAGCTTTGTGATTTAGTACCTTCCTCAATTCTTTAGAAAGCAACTTTCCTTACACAGCAGCTTTAGGCTCCAAGGCTACAAAGTTTTTAAATTATACTGTGATGAGAAGATAACTCTAAATTTTTTAAAATTATAAACAATATCTTCAAGTGAATAATTTGCTCTATCGTCCATTTGCTCATTTACTTAATTAACACTTATGGGCAAGATACATATGTAGTAGGTCTTGTGTGGGATGCTTTCTTATATATCAATCAGATATCTGGGAAAGAAGACAGCACATTTATACAAGTCTTTGTTTGGCAAGATAGATTTTATAGACCCCTAGGAGTCCAACAAAGACAGAGATTACTTTAGACAAAGGCTAAGGGAAAAAGGTGCAATCTGAGTTGAAAGACGAGTGGTTTTTGCATATGCATAGATGAAAAAAAGGGGACAAAGAAATAGCATGGAAAAAACAGGCAAGTGGGAAAATTTGCAGTGTATATCCCTCTTATAGTAAAATAGTTGTATACTTGAGCTACACAGTGTGCAAAGGGGAGAAGTAGAGAAAAACTGGGAAAGATAAATTATACCCAGGCTATAGTCAGACTTAAATATCAGGCTAAGAAGTCCGGATTTTATTCTGAAGGTACTAGGGCATCATTGAAGGTTTAAGAGGAAGGATGTGGCATAACTGGAAGCTACAATATGTGATAAATTATTGTGAAAATAGTTGATAGCAAGATAGATTGGAAGTTGGTGGTAGGAAGAGCTGATTGTATTTATATAATACCTTTCAAGTGTGGTTCTTTTAAAACTCTATCAGAAACAGAGAGTAGAATGGCAGTGTCCAGGGTCTGGGGAGATGTTGATCAAAGGGACAAACTTTCATTCATAAGATGAATGACTTATGGCCATCTAATGTACAACCTGGTGATAACTGTATTGTATTCTTGAAATTTGCTGAGAATAGATCTTAAGTGTTCTCACTACACATGCAAAAGATAAATATGTGTAGTGATGGATGTGTTAATTAACTTGATTGTGGCAATCATTTCACAATGTATATGTATATCAAATGATCATGTTGTACAGCTTAAGTACACACAATTTTTATTTGTCAATTATACCTCGATAAATCTGGGGAACGCAGTAGGAAAGCCTGTATCAGAAATATCAACAGCACCATCTAGTGCCTCACAGGATAGTACTGCCCAGTTAGGGAAAACATCTAATTCAGGGCTAACAAAAAAGATTGTAATCAATTTAAGAAGTCTCCCTTTCTTCCATAACTGCATCTAAGTTAAATGTTTGTTTCACCAATGGTGAAAAAAAAATAGCAAATAACTGGAAAGCAAACTGAGAAACGATGCAGAGGTTTTATATGGAGGTCTCATTTTTCTCTATGGCCTCTCAGAATGATTCCTCTTCAATTTTTTATCTTATACCAAGAGTTTTTTGCTTGAAATAATAACATTTTTAATGAAAGGAGAAAATGGAACAACTAGTTAAGGTGGCAAGATGGAAAAATGATGCATCCTCAACAGCAAATATAATTCTTAGCAGTAGTAAACTTAGGAAGTTATACATCATCTACCTGTAACTTACTGACATAGCTAGCTGTTTTTGTGTTCCTGATATAAAGATGAACTCAGACCCCTCAATTACCCATTGCTGGTAATTCTTGTGTACTGAGGTAATCTTCCACCTTACAAATACAACCTCTTTGTGGCCAGGAAAGAAGGGTTGTGTAAAAGAAAAAAAAAATCAGACTTCAACTGAAGATTACCTACCATATTTTATTAAACATTGATAAGTTGTTTCCACTTTCACAAAGAATAAAAGACAAGGGGGCCTGTCCACTAGTGTAAAGGTTAAGCACTGTGACTAGGGAGTGGAATTCCACATAGTCAATTGTGGTTGGAGTCCCAAACCAAGTCATTTGGAAAGCACATCAGATGCATGTGCTTATGGGCCCAAGAACCTAACTTGATGGAGAAATGGGGGAGGGGGAAGGAATTATAGAAAGACTATGCTCCCTTTAGAGTGTTCTCTCGCTCTCTATCTCCCCACCTCCATCTCATGAGTGTATGTTTCCTCTGGCAATAAAAAGAAAAAGAGCAAAAGAGGAAAATCTGGTAGAAAATTAAAGAAATAATTGGTTCTATGCTATCTCATCCCTAGCTCTCTCTGATCAGAGCTTGGTGACTGCCCTGATCAATATAGCTGAACTATGCTAGACCAGCCAAGTAAAACCTTCTTTGCTATAAAAGAAACATTGTATATTGCTAAGCAGTAAACTTTGAGTACAAGTCTAGGAAAAGAACAATGATTAACAGCTACAATTCTCTCACCCAACAAGTATATTTCATCTTAAATTATGATACATATTTTAGAAATGTATTTCTTTTCTTGGGGGGGGGGAGATTTTCGCTATAGGGCGCATGTGCTCACCAGACAGAGAGAGACATAGAGACAGAAAGTGAGAAATCACCCCCCAGGGGGGATGGTCACGCCGCAATCCCTTCTCCTCCGTTCTCCTCTCGGGATCTTGGGCATGTAAGCACATGTGCCTGGCATGAGTTTTAAGCCACCGGGTCCGGGACGCGAACCGCAGTCGACTTCGTGAGAGTCCAGCAACATAGCCATTACGCTAACTGCTGGTTCCCTAGAAATGTATTTCTAATTTTAAAGAATTATTTATTTTTGTTTTATTTATTATTATTATTATTATCCAATTTGACCAGAAAGAGAGAGGGGAAGAGTGAGAAAGCAAGTCATCCAGTCCAGGACTAGAACCACAGTTGGCCATGTGGGAGTCCAGCACCTGCCAGTCCTGAAAAATCATTTAAAAGGAAAATTTATGAAGTATTTCTGGAATAGTATGATTTACAGTATGGGAGAGTTGTTTTGTCTGGGTCTTGAAGGTTAAGAGGATGTCCATCAGGCAAACGTGGGTGGGTAAGAACAAAACAAAAAAAAAAAAAAAAGAGTTTTCTGGGTCCTTGTAGGACCCAAATCCTTCTCCTGGGGACAGGGTACAGCTGAATCTCCCACCATTGCTTCACCACCTTTGCTTTCTGCTGTGGCCAAAAAGTATATATAGTGACACTATGAAATGAAACATTAGTACTTCCTATAATTTACGATGTGGTAAAATTTGACAATATCTTTTTCACATATATTGTAGGTGCCAAGCAGACATTCCTAGAGAAACATGGATGAAGCTGGAAATCTGACAGTGTCTTCTGACAGTAATAACACATGCCATGACACTATTGATGACTTCCGCAATCAAGTGTATTCCACCTTGTACTCTATGATCTCTGTTGTGGGTTTCTTTGGCAACAGCTTTGTGCTCTATGTCCTCATAAAAACATATCATGAGAAGTCAGCCTTCCAAGTATACATGATTAACTTAGCAGTAGCAGATCTACTGTGTGTGTGCACACTGCCTCTCCGTGTGGTCTATTATGTTCACAAAGGCATTTGGCTGTTTGGTGACTTTTTGTGTCGCCTCAGTACATATGCCTTGTATGTCAACCTCTATTGTAGCATTTTCTTTATGACAGCCATGAGTTTTTTCCGTTGTGTTGCAATCGTTTTCCCAGTCAGGAACATTAATTTGGTTACACAGAAGAAAGCCAGGTTTGTGTGCATGGGCATTTGGATTTTTGTGATTTTGACCAGTTCTCCATTTTTAATGGCCAAATCTTACAAAGATGAGAAAAACAATACCAAGTGTTTTGAACCTCCACAGGACAATCAAGCTAAAAATCATGTTTTGGTCTTGCATTATGTGTCTTTCTTTGTGGGCTTCATCATCCCTTTTATTACTATTATTGTCTGTTATACAATGATCATTTTGACTCTACTAAAAAATTCAATGAAGAAAAATCTATCAAGTCGTAAAAAGGCTATTGGAATGATCATAGTTGTGACAGCTGCCTTTTTAATTAGTTTCATGCCATATCATATCCAACGCACCATTCACCTTCATTTTTTGCATAATGAAACTAAACCCTGTGATTCTGTCCTTAGAATGCAGAAGTCAGTGGTCATAACATTGTCTCTGGCTGCATCAAACTGTTGCTTTGACCCTCTTCTATATTTCTTTTCAGGAGGGAACTTTAGGAGAAGGCTGTCTACATTTAGAAAGCATTCTTTGTCCAGCATGACTTATGTGCCCAAGAAGAAGGCCTCCTTACCAGAAAAAGGAGAAGAAATATGTAAAGAATAGTAATAGAAATACGTGAAGAATAGTTTAAACCCATTGCCAGTGCAAACCATAGTAGAGTCCCCCAAACAAATATTTTCTCAAGTTATTTACAATAAAAATAAAAATTTCCACTAAAAATTTACAGGTATTTAACTATGTGTGACTTTATTTCTACTGGGTCATCTGCAAAGTCATGACATATTTTTCTGTTTTTCTATGCAAAAAAAATGTGTCATGACTTTTTCAATGACTAAATATCTCAGTTATGCATTCATACTATTAGGTATTTAAAGATGAGTTTTAAGTGTTAAAAATTCAGTCCATCACTATGAACTAAATTGTAAATGTCTTTCTTATCATTGCCAGAAGGTGTAGATGTGTCATTGCACCGTAAAACTTAGGTCCGAAATCAATGTTTTCCTCCTCAAATGAAAGCTTTAGAACTATACTTTTAAGATATAAAATTAGTGGGGCCAGCAGCTGACATAGTCGTTAAGGTGCTGGATTCCCACATGGTCCACCGTGGTTCGAGTCCCACACCTGGCATCTTGAAATTCATGCTGAACGTGTATGTGTGCATGCCCAAGATCCCAGGAAGAGTGGAGAAGAAGGGCTTGTGCCATGGCCATCCCCCCTGGGGGCATGATTTCTCACTCTCTGCCCTCACTGTCTCTTTCTGTCTTTTTCCTCTCTGGCAAGCACATGCACCCTATGGCAAAAATCTTTAAAAAGAGATAGAAAATTAGCAAATAGTTCTCAATCATCCTAAAATATCCCTTCGCATATACATTATTCGATGAGACCTGGAGATAACCCACGAACTGCATAAAATCTACTTGTCAGCCTCTTCCTTTATAGAGCTAACTGGTTAGCTATTTTCCAGAGAGAATGTGCAAATGCTGAAACAGACTAGCATTCAGACAAATGGCCCCACCAGACTCCATGCAATTTACAGCCTGGAAACTGAGGAAAATAAATCTAGTCAAAAGCTACTTTGTCTCTAATTTTCTTCTGCCCTGCTTCAGGGCCCCAAAAGAGAATTGGGAAACTTTGTTGCTCATTGAGATTCTTATAGAGAATTATCTTCCTAGGCAACATATAATCCTTTAAGAATGCAGACAACTGATACTCCCATATTTGAACAGAAGTAATTAAAAAGTTATCTGAAGAAGGGGGAAAAAGATTTACTTTTCTACATGCCTACTACTATGATCAAAATGATCAAGGATCAGGCCAGCAGGTGGCTTGGTGGTTGAGGTGCTGGACTCCCACATGGCTGACCATGGTTTGTGTCCCAGACCTGGCAGTTTGCTTTCTCACTTTCTGTCTCTCTCTAGTAAATTAAAAAAATAAAATAATGATAATGAATAAAATTTTTTAAAAATCATCTAAGATGGATTTATGAAGAAATTTTGAATATCCGTGTTAAAAATTCTTTAAGAAGTACTTTTATTTTTGCATATGTGTATAACTATATGTAAAATATTTTGCTCTATGATATGCATTTATGGGTGAAAATCATAAGCTCTATTGTTATTTCATAATTTTTACTTCTTTATTGGCATGTTGACAGGAATATCAAGGATATGCTCACAGTGGTTTTTCTATTACAGTAAAAGTTTTGTCCTTAGGACAGCAGTAACAAGTTAATTATGGCTGAAATATAATATTCATAAGCAAGCTTTGGCTGAAGTATAGTCTGTTCCTTAATTGTGTTTCAAAAAGTACATTACTATAGCAGAAAAAAAAATGATAATGGTGAAGAAAAAGGAAAGTTATGAAAGAAGTTCTATATGAATCTGCTACATGTATATTATTTCTATTTCACATCTAAAGTTGCAGTCCCTTGAAAAGATGATAAAACATAAACAGAAAGGACATCAAAGACATAGCAATAGTTGGTGCCTGTTTGCTTTGATTTAACATACCTGTCATTGGCAGTACCTATACTTTTATCCTATAGTATTATTCTTTTGCTTGAGATAAAAATCAAACATAATATTTATCATAAAAGTCAGTTCTCATTTACTAAGCCTTCTGATATTCAGCATGCAGCATTTGTATAGCAAGATACAATTTTAAAGTATTTAGACATTGTTTTGTTACTTAAATATACTGATTCATATTTACTACATGGCTTCTCTATTTTCAGAGAATTAGAACAAATACAACCATAGTTACATTCCACTTCCCACAAAAGAATCTTGGTGCTTATTTATTCCTACTTCTAAGCTTTTGCCTATGTTTTCATTTTTACTCATAGTCCTACTTCAGGTGCACTTGTATTGTGCACCTAAAATTGTGTTAAAAGGGTAGATCTCATGTTAAACATTTTTATCACAATTAAAGATAAATAAGGATCAGAAGCAGAGATTTCTTTTTAATGATTTAATTGTTCATTTTAAAAATAAGTTTTAACTAAACTACATGCTTAGACTTTTAAATTATATAAACACATGAACCATGACCTAAGGCCTATAACTTAACTCAGAAGACCATCTTAAGAATACTGTACAGGGGACCAGCAGTTAGCGTAATGGCTATGTCGCTGAACTCCTATGTAGTCGACTGCGGTTCATGTCCGGACCCGGTGACTTAAAACTCACGCCGGGCGCGTGCGTGTGCGTGCCCAAGATTCCAAGAGCAGAATGGAGGAGAAGAGATTGCGGTGTGGCCTTCCCTCCGGGGAGGTGATTTCTCGCTTTCTGTCTCTCTGTTTCTGTCTGTCTGTCTGGCGAGCGCACGCACCCTATAGCAAAAAAAAAAAAACAAACTCAAAGAATACTGTACAGTATCCTAGAATATTGATATTAGAAGGACCTTAATATTTGTCATTTCTAATGATGAAATGACACACATTCCTTTGGTTACCAACAGCCCTTATAAACCTCATCAGCTATTCAAACCCTCTTTCATCATATACTTAGCTTTTTATTTAGTTCAGCCAATATGGTTTCTGTATCTCAAAAATATCAAATCATATCTTAAAGGAATATGCTGTGTTTTAATCTCCAGAATAAACATAGATGGTTTTGTGTGATCATCTCAAACTCTAGCCTTTTTTTCCTTGGTTGTTAAAGTTTCCTGGCTTTTTAATCTGGGGATATGATTTTGCATTTTTAATTGATCTTATAAGATAATTAAATATACCTTTCATTTTTTTTCTTTTTTGGAGAGGTTTTTGCTATAGGGCGTGTGTGCTCACCAGAAAGACAGAGAGAGACAGAGAGATAGAAAGCGAGAAATCAACCCCCAGGGTGGATGGCCATACTGCAATCCCTTCTCCTTCATTCTTCTCTCGGGATCTTGGGCACGCACACACACGTGCCCGGCGTGAGTTTAAGCCACCTGGTCTGGGACTCAAACCGCAGTTGACTACATGGGAGTCCAGCAACATAGCCATTACGCTAACTGCTGGTCCCAATATACCTTTCAATTTTACCACTTAGTAACCTGTTAATGACTCCAACAGTGGAAAATTTAGAAACTAGATGTGAGATTAGATTTCAGAGCAATGTAAAATTCTGGGGCCTTTTGAATAAACACCACTGCACTGAGGGTAGAAAAAGAAGTGCACTTATTCCATTCTACTTCATGTATATAAACTGATTTAGATTGGTTTTGTCTGATTCTAAAATAGTAATATGTTTCTGAGAGGCCAAATGCAAAACATTTTCTTTTTTCTTTCATTCTCTCTTTTTAAAGAATTAATTATTTTTAAGAATTATTTATTTACTTAATTCCATTTGTTATTATTATTATTATTTAAATTTGACCAGAGAGAGAGAAAGGGAAATCTAGAAAGCAAGCTCCCAGGTCTGGAACTTGATCTGCAGTCGACTATGTGGGAATTTGGTGTCTTTAACCACCATGCTACCAGCTCACCCCCAAAACATTTCTTTGATTCATCTCAGAGCTCTGTTACTCCAGATAAATCATAAGACAAATTCTGATGTTAATTCATCTGCTGATTTTTCTCTTTTCTCTGTACTTTATATAACCATCTCCAATGATAACTCTATTAAGTCACAGAAATATATTTCTGTTTTAAATTACAAAATCAAAACTAAAATTTTATCAAACAGATTTCACTGGAACTATTGCTGGAGTGACATTTAAATGAGTATTCCCAAGGACATGACCATTATAATTTCTCTTGATAGGTATTCATTTGGTCTAGGAAATGTTTTGCATGTCACTATTTTATAAATTTAACACAACTAAATAATTTCTATGGAAAACTGTCCTTTTGGTGCAGAAAGTTGTATTACTGGATATTCAAAGGGAATGTGAAGTAAAGGTTTGCTATTGCCTAGTTTCACTGCATCTAAAATAAACAAAAATTACCATATTTGTTCCCGAATACCCATACTATACTTGGTTTGATGTTTTGTTGGTTTTTTTCACCTTGCTAACTTGAAAGATTAGTAATCTCTTGAAGACATGGATAGACATGATAATTAAGGATTGTACAATAGTCTTACATCCGATATGAAAGAGATTTCTGATTCTGAAACTTTGGCAAAGAAAATTAAAACTACTATCTAATTCTAGTCTCCCTTAAAAAAAAAAAACACTTCAAACAACTGACAAAGGAAACCAAAAAAGTTAATTTTTTCACTGTTTCATATAGTTTTTCATTGTTACTGAATAAAGGTTATAGTAACCCAGCATAATATTAGGCTATTTTCATCCATAGAAGAAATTTTCATTGCTAAAGTAGCACCACAACTCTTCATGAATATCAGTTTTTTTTACTTAAATCTAATGTATTTAAATCTAATTATAAGAACACTCCAAAGCAGATTCTATAGACTTATAGGGCTTGATTTTTGACTCTGTGCCTTTTCCCACTTTGTCACACTTAGTATTCATCTTAGATCTGGCATCTTAAATCAACCCTTTCTTCCCCTGTTACAGAAGGGTCTAATTGACAATCTATATTCCAACATTTTCAGAACATCTGAAGAAGCCTAAAATTTCTTGATTCAAGGAAATTAGAAGCTAATGTATTAACATAAAATTGACCATCCTAAGGCTAAAACAATTCAAGACCTATAATATGAGTGTTAATATCATTAGGAAACCTCAGAGAACAGCTTGGAATGTTTGAAAGGAGCAGCTTGAGGACATATTAGGACATTATGTATCCAGAGACACTCAATTCTGATTAGTTTGTACATTCTTCTCCCTGATTAACTGCATTATTTATCAATAAGCCTTAGGATATCCATTTGGTTTACTAGTTTCCTTACCAAAAAGACAAAATATTTACTGGTCGATAGAAATATCCCTTTGCTTGAACATTCCATTTTTTACTATGATTATTCAATTGACTTTCTGGTACAAATTTTTATCTGGCAACATGCTCCAGTTTCCCTGTGATATGATCTAATACCCTCTCCTTTCAGCTCCAGCCCAACCCTGAACAAAGTAAGTTGGCTAAGGCTGAAGATTTCTAGGACTAAAGTTTTGGAAATCCCAATTCTGGAATAGAGAAAAAGTGCAACTTCAACATCCTGGTTATCAAGCTATTCCTCAATATTGCAAATA